ATTACCATTCACATATTATAGTTCCTGTTCTAAGAGGTTGGGTCTTGGCCTTGGGTTGGTGATATAATGCTGGGACCAGGCCTCAAAGCTCCAATTGCAGATTTCATTCATTAGAGTCCATATGGACGGCTCATGCTGCTGGAACTCTCCCTTGGTGTTAGGTCTTTAGTTTCAACATTATTGTCTCTGTATTAAGGTTTAGATCATTGTTAGTGGGCAATGGACCAGAGCCTTAGAACACAAATCCTAGACTTTAATCTTTCTTAGCTAAATGAAAGACGCTTGAAAACAAGACCCTGGGCCTGGGCTTCAGAGAACCAAACAAAATTTCTTGGTACTATTCTAAGGATTTTGTGTCAGGGGAGATGATGTAAGGCCTTGGCTCCTGTCCTGTTAGGCACTAAATGTCTTGGTCACGTGTACTTGTTCTTTTCTTGGGCTTTAGTAAATTTATCTTAAATTCTTATCAGTGGTGGAGACTAGCTTGCTGTTTGGTAGCAGATCCATTCCTGGGTTGCAGAAGTGCATTCACATTTCCTTTTCAAGTATCTGAACAGCTTGGGATTTTGGTTCAAAGACCCAACGACTCCAAGCAACCATTCCAATATTATAGTCACTATTGTTAAGAGTTGGTTATTATTTTTTCACAAAGCTCAGATTAAATATTTTTTTAAGCCTCAAAATCTGGGTCATGATTACTATGTCTTGCCTTCAAAATATTAATTCCCTATTCTATTGTGATAGGTTAGAGGCCTCTGGGCCTGTGTTTAAGAGCTCATGTCCCATCTTACTCATTCAAAATGAAATGGCTCATACTGGGTATTGGCTGAGAGATTTCATTGCAATTTATTTTCATCCTTGGCTTCAGAGGTGAGTTGTAAAACTGTGAGCTTTGGCCTCCAAACTGCCTTGCACACATTATAGTTGCTATTCTTAGAGGCTGGGTCTTGGCCTTATTCTAAAGGATTTTGTGTTGTTGCAATAATGGTGGGACCAAATGGCTGGCTCATGCCTCTGGACCTTTGCCTTGGCTTTCATGCCATTATTATTTCCAATTTCTAAAATTTTCGTTCTTTGTTAATGGGCTCCAAACCAATGCCTTAGAACACAGATTCTGAACTTTGATCTTTCATGGCGAAACAGATGATGCTGGAGAAAAAAAACGTGGGCCAGGGCCTCAAACAGCCCAACAAAATTTCTTGGTCCTATTCTAAAGTTTTTATTTTGGGCAGATAATGCTAAGCCTTGGCTCCTGTCCAGATTTTTATTATTTGGTGACTAAATGTCTGGGTCATGGGTACTTGTCCGTTTCTTAGGTTGTATTACATAAATTGCAATTTCTTATCGAAGATGGAGAGTAGTCAGGCATTTATTATATTCTCTATCCTTAAGTGTTGGTTTTAAATCCCAGGCCCTTGCCATTTACCACAGAACTATGCCGCAGATTTCATCCTTTCAATGGAACATGGCAGAGTATTGAGAATACAACCCATGGCAAGGGCCTTAGTCCTATCAACCAAGTTTATTGCTATGTTCTAAGGTGTTCTATGGTCGGGAGAGGACACAGGGCCTAGACCTCAGAGCTCCCATTTCACATTTCATTCTTTACAGTCTAAATGGCTGAGTCATTGTTAGTAGATCCTTGCTTGGGTTTCAGAGCTTTTGACACGAATTCTTGTCACCTATCTGAACTTTGCAATTTCTATTCATAGTTGACCTTATTCTAAAGGATTTTGTTTAGGTGTAACGATGGTGGGTCCAGGCCTCAGAGCTCCTATTTCAAATTTTATTCTTTTGAGTCCAAATGGCTGGCTCATGCTTCTGGACATAGGGAATGTCGTCAGGGCTTTCATGCTGTTATTATTTACAATTTCTAAAATTTTGTTCTTTGTTAATGGGCTCCGAACCAGTGCCTTAGAACACAAATCCTGAACTTTGATCTTTCATGGCTAAACAGATGAAGCTAGAGAAAAAGAACGTGGACCAGGGCCTCAAACATCCCAACAAAATTTCTTGGTCATATTGTAAAGTTTTTATTTTGGGGAGATAATGCTAAGCCTTGGCTCCTGTTCAGATTTTATTTAGCGACTAAATGTCTGGGCGATGGGCACTTGTACCTTTCTCAGGTTGTATTACATATATTGCAAATGTTTTAGTCAGGCATTTATTATATTCTCTATCCTTAAGTGTTGGTTTTAGATCCCGGGCCCTTGCCATTTACCTCAGACCTATGCCCCAGATTTCATTCTTTCAAGGGAACACGGCAGAGTATTGAGAAAATAACCTTTGGCCAGGGCCTTAGTCCTATCAACCAAGTTTATTGCTATGTTCTAAGGTGTTCTATGGTCGAGAGAGGAAACGGGGCCTAGACCTCAGAGCTCCCATTTAACATTTCATTCTTTACAGTCTAAATGACTGAGTCATTGTTAGTAGATCATTGCCTGTGTTTCAGAGCTGTTGACACAATTTCTTGTCACCCATCTGATCTTTGCAATTTCTATTCATAGTTGACCTTAATCTAAAGGATTTTGTGTTTTTGCAATGATGGTGGGACCTGGCCTCAGAGCTCCTATTTCAAATTTTATTCTTTTGAGTCCAAATGGCTGGCTCATGCTTCTGGACCTTTGCTTTTGGCATCAGGGCTTTCATGCCATTATTATTTACAATTTCTAACATTTTGTTCTTTGTTAATGGGCTCCAAACCAGTGCCTTAGAACACAAATCCTGAACTTTGATCTTTCATGGCTAAACAGATGAGACTAGAGAAAAAGAACGTGGGCCAGGGCCTCAAACATCCCAACAAAATTCCTTGGTCCTATTCTAAAGTTTTTATTTTGGTGGGATAATGCTAAGCCTTGGCTCCTGTTCAGATTTTT